AGGTACTACTAGGGAAAGTTTTGCTCCCAACAAGTTAAATTATGACTATAACACAAAGATGTGAATATTGGATTCCTATTTTTTATTTTTGTTTAGATTTAGCAAAATGAAAGCAGGATGCTCCTTTTAAAATTACACCTATTTAATGAGCCTCTGCTCTGTGTAGGCCATTCTGTTAGGCACTGAGGATATAAATTACATTAGAAAACATTCACAAGCATGGTTTCTACATTAGAAAACATTCTAAAACATGTTTTTTCTCTCTTAGAACTGTTTTTTTTCTTTCCTTTAAAATAAGTTAGGGAATGCCCTCCTAGTAAGGCTTTCAAAGAGCATTTGCATGCATAAACTTTTTTTTCTAAATGTGATGTCAGTTTCACAAGATTCATGTCCATTTAGGGGCTAAAAGGTTGTAACAACATCCCCAGAGTTCAGTGCCAGATGTGTTTGCATGGCAGGTCATGCAGACCCAAATTCATCCTAGCATCTGGCTAAACACTTTCCACGTCCGATCTTAACCATATGTAAATATAATGGAGAGCAAGTGAGAAAATAAACTGTCTCTCTCTTTTTGTTCTATTTATAATGTAAACAACTATTCTGAGGTTACGAATTTATAAATGGATTAACGGTGTTAGGTCTCTGTGACTAGGCTTTTACCACATGGTGAAGATAATGCTGTGTCTAGAATATATTGCCTGGACATGGAACGCAGGTACAGGGATAAGGATCCAGAGAGGGAATGATCACTTCCAGATGGAATGATGGAAGAAGACTACCTAGAGGAGGGAGGGTCTGGAAGAGAAGGAAGTGTTTCAATGGAAGGCATTAGTTCAGAGTCCATCTCAGTGGGGTGAGGAGAACAGGAGATGGGAACAAAATGAATGAAAGCAGTATGAACAAGGCAGAGTATTTAGGGGGCATGATAGAGATCCTATGGTAAGATTAATTGATAGACATCCTGCAAAACTGGGTTAGGCTAAATTTTAGGTAAATGTGAATCTAAATTATAAGATTTTGTACTATAAACCATTGAATTAAATGTATTCACATACCGAGAGTGATTCTGAAGAGAGAGCTTGACAGAAATAAGTAGGAGGTGGTCTGCACTGAGATAGGAGAAGTTGTCATGGAGAAGAAGCAAAAGGTGGGTTATTTTTCCAAGGAAGATATGATAGGAGCAGACACTGTGGAGTTGCGAGTAACAGAAAAAGAAGTTAAGATTGTGGTTGTGAATTTGGATGGCTGGGAGAAGGGCATGTCAGAACATCAAGAAAACTAGTCTCACCGAGTAAAGGTAAATATAATTTTTGATATATTGCATACGATTTGGCAATAAGGCTTGCAAATGAGAGTATAGGCTCTCATTTGCAATAGGCTTTTGAATATGTGATACTGAATAAAGGTGATGGTTGGAAACTGTTGGAGTAGATGAGATTCCAGAATGAAGAAATATGAAGACAGAGGAGGACGTGTCAAGAGATAACTTTGATGTCCATGCTAGAGGATGGAAATGACAGAGGTAGCTATCCGAGGTGGCAGTCAACAGTGGAGCCTTCTCGAAGTGAGGAATGTGGGCATTCTTGCCTTGTCGCCAGGACTGACTTGTTCCCAGATTCAGAGGGGAAGAATTCAGTCTTTCATTGTTAAGTATGATGTTAGCTGTAAGGTTTTTCTAGATGCCCTTTATAAGTTTAAGACAGTACTTTTGTATTGCTAGTTTACTGAGAGATTTTACCATGAATGAATGTTACCAATGGTTTTTCTGCATTTATCAAGGTGATTGTATGATTTTTTTAGGCTTTTGATACAATGAATTACACTGATGGATTTTCTAACGTTCAACCAACTCTGCATGGTCTTAATATATTATCCTTTTTATGTTGCTGGGTTTTATTTGCTAATGTATATTGTTAAGATTTGCGTGTAGGCCCATGAGAGAGAGTAATCTGTAAATTTTCTTGCAATGTCTTTGATTTGGTATCAGGGTAATGTTAGCATCAAAGCATGAAAAGATGAGATGGGAAGCACCCTTTTCTTCCTTCCTTCCTAGAAGGGTTTGTGAAGGGTTGGCATTGTCTCTGCCTTTGAGATTTGGTACAATCGACAGTGAAAGCACCTTGGCTTAGAATTTTCTATGTAGGAAGGCTTTTAGCCATGAATAGATCACAGGGCTATTTAGAGTATCTGGTTTTCTGAATAAGTTGGTGGTTTGTGTCTTTCCAAAAGATTGAGTTCTTCTCATCTAAATTATCCAAGTTTTATGTATCAAGGCAAACATAATATTAACCTTTAGATGTCTGTAGGATCTATTTTAATATTCATCTTTCATTTCATTTACACCTATTTGTTTTCTGCACGTCCTATCTTTTCTTTATTTTAATTTTCTCTTTTTTAGGCTTTCTTTTAAACTGAGTTATATTCTATGGTTTCATGAATTAGATGTTATTTAGGATAAAAAGAAAGGAAGATGAGAGCTCTCACGATTGCTGCTGAAATTCCTTCAATTAAGTTGAGATGTATGATGATAAACTGAGGGCCAGGAAATGTTGCTATTTGTCTGGAGAAGGTTTAGGACATTTGTCTTGGGGTATCTCCTGAGAAAACAGCAAGAGAGTGACATGGACTCCCACGCACTAATAAGGTCCCTGGCTGAAGTGGACGTGTAACCAACTAATAATACTACTTGGGTAGCTAATCTGAAGCTATGTTTCCAAATAAGCCTTAAAATTTGAAAAATGTGAAAAAAATCGCAATGGAATTACAGTAGTGATTAGGATGTTTTGCATTTCAATTTTAGTTTTAATCAGATACATTCATGTTTCCCCTCATGAACATTGAAGATATCAGCTCTTTTAGACAATCACGTTTTGCTAGGAGTCCAGACCGTGGCATGATTGGCTGCTGTCTTTCTGTATAGTGAGCCCTCGGTGTTTTACACAGGGCAGATGAACTCAAGGGTTTTAGTTAAGACCTGAGTAAAGCTTCTCCCATTTTCTTTTTCAGAGCTAAGTTATCTGAAAAGCCAGAAAATGCAGAATAGCTGGAAGGAATTGGTATTGGTGAATGGAAATAGAACAAATGGAAAATTGGCAAACCAGCTGGATATTTTGTGGGACTAATGGCTTTAGAAACATGTTTACAAGATGAAGATAATTATTGTACTCTTTGAACTGATTACATTTTGTATTGTATTCTTTTTGTTTGCAAAAACTGATTGCTTGATTCATTGCATGAACCTAAACCCCTCATTGCCCATAGGCCTTGTTATTTTGTTTACATATTGAAAATCTATGTAATTAAAAATGGGAAAATCACTGTTTCATAGGAATATGGCAGCTGAACAACTTTCACAATCCCAACTGGTTGTCAAAACTTTTTTGACAAACCCCAACTTTAGCAGTAGCAACAGTACATTTTATGTGAAAAACTTGACAAAGATATTCTCCAGAGACTGAAAAGTGAGCTCACTCGTACTTTCCCAGAAGTGAGCCTGATGGTGTGGGCCAGACAGCCTCGGGTCAAACCCTGGCTTTCCCACTGCTTACCAGCTGTGCGGCCTGAGCAGGATGCTTAGTGCTGCAGTGTCTTCGTTTGTGAAATCGTTTAGCCTGTAGACTTGATGTGAACATTAAATGAGTTGCTACCTGTGAAATGCTTACAGTGGGCCTGATGCATAGCATGTTTCCAATAAGTTGCGGTTACCGGAATGAAAAAGTTGGTTAGGCTCGGAGCATTGCCAATAATGCAGGGTTTGCACAATGTCTAGATCTGGGAACCTGGATGCAAATCACACATACTTGGTAAGTACCTTCAAAAGGTACTGGGAATAAAAAGTCCAAATACTACCCATGGAAGTGTGACATTTATTGATGGCTTAAGGTATTTTTTTCTCATATAATATATTTTTCTCTTCCAAGCATAGCAATATTTTCTTCAAATGTAATTTTTTACTATTAGTATCAGTATGTATATTCTAAATCGACTCTTTGCGATTACTGAAAAACCAGTATAAGTAAGGCAAAATTTATGTCCATAAGTGATAATAATTAACAATGTGATTTTTGTAGCTGTCAATATAGTAAGCTAATGGTAAAAGCACAGAGAAATCTTTTGGAAAAAAGCTATGTTTTAGCATGGAAAGAAAAAGGATTGAATGGACACTAACAGTGATAGGCATTTGCCCCGTATATGCTGTTTCATTTATTTAGGGGAGAAATGGGGGTCAGCTCCTAGTCATGCGATTCCAAAGCTCATGCTTTTTCTGTAGTGTCTGTCTGCCTCCCAGAAGTGATCTGCACCCCATTGATTAAGTTTTAGTACAAAAGTTACTGCTGATCCACAAAAATGAAACTTCCCTAATCTTTTAATATCTTGTAATTATTAAAAGAATTATTAATAATTATCTCTAATTATTTTCTTATTTTTTATTCCATTTCATTTTAATGAGTATATGCCTTTAAAGCTCACACTAGAACAACCCATCATCTTAAGAGTGGGTTTCCTTTTTAACTGCAGAAGAGACACTATCTGTGGAAATTGTGGAAAAAGTGCTGACCTTGGGGCTGGTTCTTGCTTTGCCACAAATTAGTTACTTCATTTTGAGGCAAGCAATTTCACATGTAGAATTTCTTCTTTTTATTTGCATAATAAATGAAAAGTACTCAGTCATCTGGAACATTCCATCTCTTTGGATGCTTTATGGTATTATACATCCACACCGTCTTTTCTTGAAGAGCCAGAAGTTCAAAGATGGGCCAGTTTCCCAGGCAATTGATTCCCTAGTTGGGATCCTCCAGCCCCTTAGAAATTTTCAGGACTTAAAAAATGACTACAGATATAGAATTTTGTAATAAGCAAACCCAGAATCAGTTTTTTAAGGTCCTGTATATACTCTCTCTTTTTAAAATTTCTGTTATTTTGTTGTCATTCACTTAATCTATATTCTTTTCCTTCTGAATTTAGGATATCCTGACTTTTCTTTTCCATATTTTCCACAGGATTATTTTACAAATGCAAATAGAGACTTGAAAAAAGATGCCCAGCAAGACTACCAGCTGGAGTACGCCATGGAAAACAGCACACACACAGTGATTGAATTCACCCGAGAACTGCACACGTGTGACATGAATGACAGGACTATAACGGTAAAGAGCGTCCAAGCGAGTACACGTGTGAAGAAGTTGTACATTTACAGTTGTGAAGTCCCTTACAGAATAAAAGGAACAAATATTTAAAAATAACGTCAATAACGAAATCACAGAGTCTTCGGGGGAATATTTTTGAATTCTCTTTACAAGCCACCCACAAAAAAAAATCTAAGACTATAAGTATCAATAAAGGCAGTTTTTGTGTTAATCTAAAATTTTTGGGAACTGTTTAAAGTGTGTATAATTTGACTTACAAATGCTTTTAAGCATCTTTCTATGATATTTGAAAATAGACAATAGATAATGATAGGAAGACATGTATTACAGGAGAGAGAAGTATGATAGTAAATATAAATTCATCAGATTTGTTACTGATGCATCTTAGTAAACCCCTAAAATCAAGATGAGTAGTAAACTAATTAAAATTGTCTATCAAATATTGTAAAAGATTTCTTATTGTCAAAACTCATAGAAAAAGTAATATTTCATGCAGATGCAAACTTAATATTTAGAGACTTTATAATTCATGTGGTACTTTGGAAGTTTCCATGAATTTCTTAGATCAATTTCACTTTGTGTAGACCAATAAAATTATCTCTTTTATTTAGTGTATCAAAGCTTTAAAAATAGGGATATAAAAATCTAAAGCTGTTTTGATTAACATTCATCCTAAAGAGTAAAAGGGGAAGAAAAAACACAAGCAAAGACATGGATCATATTTTATGCAACATACAGTGCAATTATACTTTAATTGGAGTAATAATTATAGTCATTTGACTTATTAAGAAAGAATATAGCTTTTAAAATAAATAGCTTTTGCTTTATTGTCTATTCCCAAAGTTCTTATTACAAAGGCGGGGCAAAGACACCTTTATGTGTGGGAGGAGTGGGCCATTTATTTACCCCCCAGCAAACCCTCCCCCATACACCCCCACTTTGGGGTAATCTCTCTTCATTGCCGAGTGGAAGCCAGTGTCTCCTAATACTTCTCCTGGTTGGGAAATAGCAGTTCATCTGATTTGTAACTGACAAATTAGTGAGCTTCCAAAATCAAGACGAAGAGCAGACCAATTCCTTAGAAAGTCCCAGGATTCCTAAAATGACTATCAGATAAATTCAAGGTTAATACACAAACCCAGCATTAGAAGTTCCTCCTGTGTTTGCATTTTATGTAAATTCATTCAAGTGACTTTTCTCTGACCTGGAAACTAATTTTAATTGTCATCTCATTTATTCATTTTCCTAAATGAATGGACATTTAGGAAATGGACATTTCCCTAAAATGTCCATGGTGTTAAAACAGGTTTTAATTTTCTAAAATCCCTGCTGCATAACAAGACTATTTGCTTGGTAACTACCAGTTGCTGGTTTGGAGGGTTAGCATGACGATGATTTGCACTTTCAGCATGCATGAAAGCATGCCTGAAGTCCGTGTCCTTCACACTGTTTTGGAACACATAATCTCGCCTGCTGACAGACAACTCTTTCCTCACCCGCCCTCCCATCCCCCAAATACTTATCTATTTGGGTAGTTAATGATTCAATGAGATTAACACAATAAATGTCAGAGAGCATATTAAGAATTCCAAATATTATTATTCTTTTTCCTTCACTTCGATATCTTGCTTCAAATAGAGCTCTTTAAACTCAACTCTGTGGTAAGGGAAGCGCTCTCCTGGGACATAACTGTGCCCATGTCTGATCCCAGGAGAGCACCGTGAGAGTGATCTGGGCCTATCACCGTGAGGATGTGGGAGAAGATGGTCCCAAGTACCACGACTCCAACCGTGGCACCAAGAGTCTGCGGTTATTGAATCCTGAGAAAACCGATGTGTTGTCTACAGCCATACCATACTTTGACCTGGTAAATCAAGACGTAAGTTTTTTCAGGTTTTATGACTATAGGGGTGGGCTTATTGAAAGTGTATAAGAGTTTTTACTTGTATTTAATTGTCTATCAAGAGGATGTGACTTTGTGTTCCTGTCCCCTTTTTATTAAGACAGGTCCTCATCCCAAAGAAAGGTACGGTATATTGGTGCCAGATGTTTAAGATTCCCATGTTCCAGGAGAAGCATCATGTAATAAAGGTATGTGACTCACTCACAGGCTAAACTGAATTAGTATAAATGGAGGAGAAATTGTGGTTCTTAAAATGAAAATGATAAAAAATATATAGAAATGATTTTTCATTCTTTGAAAGTTATTTAGGGAACAAAGAACTGGCTTATCTGACACACACATTGTCTTAAATGTCATTGATTTTAGGGAGAGAGCCGGGATTGCACCCACTGTTTTGCATTTTCTCACCTAATTTCACACATTAAATGTAAAATTTGAACCTCTAGTTATTTCTTGGACAACACTTCTACAGTTGGAATTCTGGAGTTGCAATTTAAATGTTCATGTATTGATAAATTATATTCAAGAAGGTTAAGTTCCCCACCAAAGTTGTTTGAGAACATATGCTTCATTGAAAATACTGAATATTCTCATAAAAAATACAGTATTATGAAAACTAAGAAAAAAATTAGTGAATTTCTGCAGAATTTACAAAATACAGAATTATGTAGCAAACAAGCCCAGTTTGCCTGTGACACGTAAGTCCCTCCCACTCTCTCAGGGATAGGTCTCCCCAAACTTTTGCCTCTAGTTAGTGAATGAACAAGTGTTTTTAAACACCTACAGGTCCTTGGCTTTGTGCCGGGAATTGCCTGGCCATTCCAGTGGCTGAAGATATCCATTGTCTTAACCTGTAGTGGGATTATAGGTCACAGAGAAGAATAAGACAGAATTAAATAGTGCTCATCAAATACTGGAAACCAGCATTGCCAACTCTTTGTCAGCCCTCAGACTGTGCAATGAAACAGTGTGGATGTGAGAAAATGGCACACTTATAGATTCTGGAATTTAGAGGAAAATATGTGGGTTTGATTCGCAGGTCTACTCTGTAATTAACTGTGCGTCTCAGGTAAGCTGCTGTGTGGTTCACGCTCACTGCAGCCCCTGAGTGCCCCGTCTGTGAAAAGCGGTCAGTCGCAGTGCCCTGGCTACCGACCTCAACACGTTCTGGCAGAGAGGGAAACACTGAGCACATTCTATGAAGGGACTTAAATCTGTTAATTTCTAGTAGATTTGTCCACTGGCACAGATCTGCTTTTCATTTATAGAATGATTCATAACTTCTTAGAGAGGTAAGGGCAGCAGGTTAAGAAAATGTTTATTGAATTAGTAAGCTGTCCTAAATAGTTGTGGAACATTTTGGTAATCAGAAGACACCAGCAATAGGACTACACATGAGTCCTTTACCTCTGTGCAATGTAACTTTCTATTTCCCACACATAAAAAGGGGGTGCAAGGCCTAGCTTTACATATTGATACAATGCCCACGTCCTTGTACGCAGGAAAAGCTTTCCTCAGGAAGAGAATGTTAAAATTATATACACTGTGAGTCATATATTACTGTGTGCCATTTGCAGTAAATTTAATTGGAACCTGCAGTAAATTTAAGGGACATATAAAAAACCAAGTTCAGAAATAAAAGTGAATGTTTCCCCAAATAGGTCCTTGATTCATATTTTAGCAAATGTTAATTGATGGGATACAAAGTCCTTAATCACTTACCCTAATGCATTTATAGTCTTGTCATTATTAATGCTAACAATAAAATTGAATGAAATAAAAACAATTGCCTACACTTAAGGGAGGGCAGTGCATATCCTGACCCTCCACATAGGCCTTTTGCTTGGTACCTCACCCAATTCTTTGCTAGATTTCCCATCACAAGAACATCCTGGTATTTAGAATTAAGTACTTTTGGGTCTACGTTACTGTCTTCACTGTGTACCAAGAGGGATCTCAGTGACTTGAAAGGCTTTGGAATATTTTTGCTGTGTCTGGCGGTCTATAAAAGGGTGAAAGTTCTTTACTCCAGCGAAGGGGATGTGAGGGAAGGACAGCAGGTCAGAAATTAGCTTTTGTTTTGGTGGGGCAGAGGGTCAGTGGCTAGATTTTATGATTCTATTATTATTTAAGAATACCACTTATAAAAAATCTCTGAGCTTGTTCTTAAATCCTAAAATATTTTCAAGTTCATTAAATATTATGAAACGTTTAACTTGAACATGAATTCAAATAGGATAATATACAATAAGAGCAAGAAAGTTTTCAGGGAAAAAGAAATTCAAACCATTTAAGTTATGTAACATCTGAGTGTTAATGTGCAGCTTATGACAGTTTACAGTAATTTAAAGAAATTTTTATAGTAGAATTCATAGATCTAGAATATTTTTTAAGATTTTATTTATTTATTTTAGAGAAATGGGGAAGAGAGGGAGAAGGAGAGGGAACGAAACATCAATGTGTGGTTGCCTCTGGCACACTCCAGGCTGGGGACCTGGCCCACAACCCAGGCTTGTGCCCTGACTGGGATCAAACCAGTGATGCTTTGGTTCACAGGCCTGTGCTCAATTCACTGAGCTATACCAGCCAGGGCTAGAACTCTTCTTAAAAATTGTCTCATTTTTGTTCTCTTTTCCTTAACAGAGATGATTTCTAAAAATGTAAGAAAAGCACATCTCTTTTTCATAGAATCAAAAAGACTCCTATGTTGTGAGAAGCCATTAGCTAAATGCTTCTCCTATTCCTTAGTTTATGTCCCACGAATCGCTGCATCAAAAAGCCACAGGTCTTCTCTGCACCAAACAAATGGTGCTTTCTTAGAATAAAGAATTTTGCCTTTACACTGTATGTCATTCGCAGTGAATTTTAAGAACATATTGATTATAGTAGTTTTGTGAGAAATCAACTGTACTGTCTCCACTCTATTTCAAACAAAGAAAAAGTGTGTAAAACTTTAAATGTTAATGTTACCGAACAAGAGGTGGAGGTCCGAGGGAGGGGCAATACAATATTTGGCCCACCTAGGGATGCCCACAACTGCTATACAACAGGGGCCCCTCCCAAAAACAAAATACTAAAATCTACTGGGCCCTTCTGTCCGCCACCAATTGGAAAGACATCTCTTAATGCCAGAGATTTGTGAAAAGGAAACAAAATGTTTATTTAATGCTATTCAGGCCTAATGCCACCACTAAAATATCAAAGTCCTTTAGGGTATACACCTACACCCACACAGCGCTCCCTTCTCCCACTGTCCCAACTCCGGGTACCGTAAATCAGGAAAAGAGCACACGTCCCTTTTTCAGGGACGCTGGCACCGTCAGCTGTGTCACCGTGCAGACAGGATCTCGAGTTAATCCAAAGTACTGTTGTACCCTCTCATGGTCCACTGGCAAGAGTCCTTTGTACCCAGTTCCAGTCAAAGTCTCTGTTGCTTTTCAGGCCACGTGGCCAAAGGGGGCACCCCAAAGCCGCGTGGGCCTCTTCTACCAAAGCTGCAGGAGTCTGCACTCCACCAAAAGCATGTGGCTTTCTTCTTCACCTGGCTGCAGGGATCTTCATTCTGGCAAAGCTGCGTGGTTTTTCCCTTTCACCTGGGAAAGAGGGGGTCCGCACCCTGCCAAAACCACGTGGCTCCCTCTTTCACCTCACCAAGAGGGAGTCCTCACTCTGCTGAAACCGCGTGGCTCTCTCTCCCAGGCCTTCTCACTCAGGAGCGCAGCCCCTCGTTACATTCTGAGTCCAAGCCCTTCTCCCTCCGGAGAGCAGACCTTAGTTCCCATCCTGAGTCCTCCTAGTTCCATCCTCAGTCCTTGCTAGTTCCTTCTCCCCGCCACAACCTTCTCCCTTCTCCTTGGCTCCCAACTTGGCCACTGCTATTTACCATATCTATGAAACCAGTTAAAGGTTATAGATATGTTAAATAACCATTCCTCCAGAGGTTAGCTCCAAAACTGTTGCTATGCAAAATAGCTCTCAATGGCCTGGCTCCATTCATCCCTTCCCCCTGGGGGGGGGGGGGCGGTGAGGACATCTTATATGTCTCTCCAATATTTCTATACACTTTGAATTCTGGACACTATTCCAAATCTTTTTTGGGGGCCCCCCTGTCTGTACCCTGTATCATTAACAGTTCTAGCTAATATATACTTTGTACTTGTAATAGGTCCAAAGATAGCAGATAAAAAAATTGTTGGCTTGATCATGAATATATTTAATGGAATGGCTAAAATTCAAAATATTAGTTATATTTTTTACTTAAATTTTAATCATGTAATCATAAAAATATTTACTACTAAAAGTATGACATGGTAAATAATTTCTAAAATGATAAAATAATAAATACTTTCATCTGCTGTATAGATGGGCTTATGATAAAATTATTGGTGGTTCCAATTCACTTGTGATTCTAGTTCACTGATTTGTATTTTGATCTTTGCAAAAATGTTTAAAATTGTGACTTGAAAATGTTTGTATCATCAGATGATAACACATTATACATGCAGACAGATATGGAGACTGCGAAAAAGATTATTGGTGATTTATATTCAAACAACACTTCTCATATGAGGTCGTCTCTCTGTCTTGAGACCCACTGTCTAGCCCACCTCTTCACATTTAAACATGACCCTAGTTATGCTTTGCCAAATATCTGCCTTTACTCTAAATTTAAAATTTGGGGGTAGGGGGTAGGAAGGGATTCTTTCCACTATCTTAGTCAATGGTAATATCATTACCACCTACCAGTAATGATGGGATATACTCTGCTAGAAGCTGGGGTTATCAATTGGTTTAACACACTCTTTTGAGGATAATTGTCAGGAGATTCTCAAAGATAAATATCTCATTTATCTGTTTAAATTTGATGTGTCATTCAATTTAATAAATAGTTGTTGATGGCCCATTATGTTAAAGAGGAAAAAAGAAAAAAAGCCAGATCGAATCATCATTTCTTAGTCATCTCTTCTTAAAGAACGGGCTTCCTGTTCTTTAAGGGACGCAGTGAGCTTCATGATATCAGGTTCTGTGCTCCGAAGGGCCAGGTTTGAATCTTTTCTTTCCATTACTCGTCATTTATCTGTGGGAAAGTTTAATGTCATCCACAGCTTAACTTTATTGTTCAAATGGAAATGGTACCTTCTTTGCCTGATTGTTTGTGCTGAAGGTTAAATCGTTTTTTACAAAAATT